TACAGGTTTGTGTTAAAACTCAGAAATTTCAATATTATTATAGCCCTCAGCCTATTTTGTTCACATCTGTATCTCCAGCATCTAGAAAATTGTTTTGACATAATAGCTACTCAGTAAATATTGAATACATGTTAGGGTGAGGAGGGCAACAACTCTCTGTTCTCACTGGGATTGCCCATGTCCAAGGCTCTTGCTATTCCCCCTCGCTTATGACTTTCCATGACCTTCTAGGGAAGAATGAACTTAGATGAATGAACTTAGATAAATACAGACACCAGCATGGAATGAGTTTATGGCTATTTTAGCTGAATTAATAAATGTCTTAATATTTCTACTTTAATTTCTAATTCACATAGCCCATACAGAACATATATGCAGAAGTCACTTGTTATCTTTCTCCTCGAATTAATAGCTCTCTCCTATATGTATATTATCTACCGAGTAACTTGGGACATATTTCAGACTTCTCTCTTTCCCTACGTCATTCCCTAATATATCCAATTTATCATTATAGGCTGTGCACAGTACCCTTTTAACATTGTTCACACCCTTCCCTCATCTTATTTTCCTCACTGTTTAACTGCCTTCATTCACACTCATTATTTCTTAACGGCCTGTAGTTTATATATTTTATGTTGAAGAGTCTTTTATTCCTCACCTCGTCATCCTTCTCTGAAAGATTTTTATACATTGAAATTATGTTGTTAAATTCCTGTGACTAGAGAGTTCTGAGATAAATATACACATACATTAATACATACACACACACAGACATATATACATATATGTATTCTGGACAGAGCCACAGTTGTTAGTAGTCCACATAAATCATAACCAGCATGAATATATGTTTGACGTATTTTCAAAATCTCTTTATTTATTGTCCTGGGTCTTTAAACCCTGGGCGATACACTACAGTAAAATTTAGGAGGGAAGGGAAGTCTACCTTTCTTTAGTAAATTCAGAACGGGCAGCAGTGAATGAGAAGGTAGGGGTGTGGGAACTGGCCTGATTTCTGAAGGGCACGTACATCTGAGGCCATCTTTCTTTGGGGAAGAATTTATCTGGAAGTAGAAGAGCTGGAATTTGAAATTCTTAAGCTGTCCATGCCAAAGAACCCCAAGAGTGTCTTTATGTTTTGCTGGATTTCATGGACATCTGTTTGGAAATCACTATTTCTGATCACAAATGAAATAAAATCACTTAATTTTTCAGTGTTTCTCATGGTAGCTGAGTGACCTACTCTTGGATCCTATGTGATCTGCCTCGCTCATCTTCTTCCCATTTTTCTGTTTCTGCCCCATCTCCTTCCCATATCAACCCACTTACCAGGTCTGGAATCCTGCACACCAATGCTACTCACACATACTAACACTTCTCCATGCATGCCTTTGAACTGTTCTTCACTGGCCTAATCATTGTCATTTTGTAGAACTAAAATACAAATTATTAATACTAGATGGAAAGCTACCTTTCTGTAGGTAGTAAATACATGCTGGCTATTATAATTTTCTATGACAGCTATTATACAATGAAACGAGTTTAAAAATCCCCTTTCAACTAAGACAGTAAGTGACACAATCAAATTATTCTGTTTTTCAAACATATCAAAAACCAAGAATGAGTCTAGTTGGTCCCAACGAAGAGATCACTAGGAAGTTGGCCGAGAAATTTAACTATCCAAATAAAAAGTGTTAATCGATTATCTGCTACAACCAGTGCAAGCAAATATGTTTACTGCCTTTAAGATCTCCACTCACTGGTGTATACACATTGTATTAATCCCTTCCCTTGATTATAGATGAAACTTTTGATATGGTGGGTCACTTGCAATTAGGTTATGCTTTACAACAAATGTGAAGAGGTGTTGCATATGCAATTAAAGTCCTTAATTAGTTGACTTTAAGGGAATTAAAAGGAAGATAGACATAGGTGGGACTGACCTAATCAGGTGAGCTGTTCAAAAGCAGGTCTAGAGTAGGGTCACCAGATTTTAACATTGGTAAAGCGGGACAACATGGGGAGGGAGGGGCAAGGGG